CATACGAATGTAACAAGAATTATTCATAATTGGTTGAATAGGCTCCGACTACCTACACGGTGTCTCGTGAGACGCTCAACGTAAAAATGTAATTTTTCGTGTATTTTCTGGGTTCCTTTAGCTCCATGAATGTATCATATATACATATCCATATTTATATAATCTCTTAAGATCGGATCAACAGTTTTTTGTTTCATGCTTGAATTTTGAATAATAGAATAAGTCCCCCCCCACCCCCCCCGCCCCCGTTTCTTTTTATTATTCATTTGAAATGTTGTGGGGCAGCAGACCGCAGGCTAAGATTCAGCTTTAGCAGAGGTGGTTCGAAGATGGCGCTCATGGCGTCACTGTCATAGGCCATCCCTATCCAGATTATGTATTTAGAGAGATCAGTGGTTTGACATTGTTTTGATGAGCTTAAGCCGATCGTGACCCTGGCATTCTTGGATCATCCGGTTAAAGCGATTTGGATCACACTGCGAAAGGGCTTGGAATTGTAATTTTCATTGGTAAGCATTTATTACTCTCTTTATGATGATGAACTAGTCATTACACACGCATATGTACATTATGTTATATTAAGCGGGATATAGCTTTCAAAATTTAGGGATCAGGCGAGAACGAGAATAGGTGAGGCGGGTGTACTGGCAAGAGATGTATTTAGTTAACTTTACGTACATGTGGGCGTGCGTGGAGTGTGAATGATGTTGTGGCGCAGCGTGCGCGTGCGCGTGCGTGAGGTGTGTGGTGCGTGTGCGTGTCGCGTGCGCGCGCGGCGTGTGGTTGGTGTGTGTTAGGAGTGTGTAGTCGTTGTGTTGGCCGAAAATAATAGAAGCGGTTGCTGACTTGTATTTGTGCATCACGCGCAAACATACGGCCTCACTGCCGACTGCTGTTCACATTTATCAGGATGATTGCCATATGAATTCATGCCATCTGATACTCATAGAAATTTCAAGACGATTGATATGCAGCAATAAACAGCTTTTCAATTTTACATTACATATAATTTCATCTTACTATTGCGGATCTGCAATTTATTATAGCAGTGGACGTTACTGAACGAATTATCTGGTAATTTACGACGGTTAGTGCGATAGTATATAGGCCTACATTATAACTTGTTAATTCCAGGGCTTGTCGCTGCAGCCACAGTTAGGCAGAGGGGGGGGGGGGGCAAGGGTGGCATTTTCCCTCCAAATAAATGTAGGTATATACATAATTTACTGGTTGAATTGGGCAGTCACCTTCCTAGAAACAAATAACACCACAGTGAGTTGGCTACGTGCCTGATTGCAAGAGTGGATGTACGTCAGCTCTCATTTTACGGCATATATAATATACCTCCATAGGCAGGGGCTCTGGCGTGGAGGTTATGGTTTCACCGGCGTTTGGGGTTTTTTTCTTGGAGTGTTTGGTTTGTGGTTTGATTGTGTTACCATGGCACCACGTTATCAGCTTCACTTCCGCTAGGTTGCGCTGGGCTGCCTAGACTTACAAATACAACGCAACCACAGGCTAAGGGGCAACCACAGTCCTCCCCCACCTGCATGCTCGGCAACAACGATAATCCGGATCCAATTAATTAGGTTTAATTAATTACATTAATTAATTTTCCAGCTAAGTATCGATTAATTCATTACATTAATTAATAAAAAATTTCACATTGAGAGAATTCAGCTGCCTTGGCGGAGGTCTGTGCTCTTCGAGTGCTCTAGTTTATAGATAGTATGACATAGACTTCAGTCTGATACAGAAAAAAGAAGTGTGAATGTGGAGGAGAGGTAGAGCGAATTTATAAGGGCTATTATATACTAGGTAGAGCTAAAGTGGTTGCATTGCAGATTGCAATGATTACGAAAATGTGTTATTTACTAATTTAGTGCTCTGACGAGCCTGTGTGCATCTGTTATCTATACAGTCTTCAACAGTTTCTTAGAGCTAATTAGTGAAATGCCTTAATTACTATACCTGTTATTATAAGCTATTCTAAAAAAAGGTTATTTTTTTGTAGCACAGTGTCAATGATATAGGCCCTACCATAGGCATGTGTCCTCACATTATACATGCACCTCTCTGGGAGAAAGGCAAACTTGATGAAACACCAAGATGAAGCATTTTATTGCTATATGTTTCCTGGGGTAGCTTTAGAATTTTTTTATTCTAAACCTAGGGAAATCCGACATTTAAATCATATAAAATGGTAAGTACTACTCTTTTTTATTGCAACAACAGATTTTCTAGTGTTACCCTGATGATAGTTGCTCTTGAGTGTGGTAAAGCTTTATGAATGTGCCACCGGCTTGGCATTTATCACCATATTTCTCAATAATGGATATTTAATTTAAGGCAGTTGTTAGACCTTGTACTATCCCAACTGTACAACCCCTTCTCTACCTCCTAATCTTCTCCATGTCCTTCTTCCCTTCTCTACCTCCTAATCTTCTCCATGTCATTCTCCCTCCCTGCTCCTCTACTAATCCACCTGCTCCCCCTTCACTACCTCCTCTTACTTCTCCCTTTACTCCACCTCATCCACCTTCTCCACCTTCTACCCTCCTGCTGTACATACTCCGCTTTCTCTGCTACCTCCTCTTACTTCTTGTCATCCCCTACTTCCTTAATTTCCTTCTTGTGACTTCCCCCTCATGTACCTGCTCTACCTTCTCCACCTCAACCACCTTCTCCTCTATCTTCTCCCTTTGTCTACTGCCTCCATACACTTACCCCTTTTCCCCCCTATACTTCTGTACACTGCTTAGTTAGTGTTATATGTTGATAGCAGAAGCCATACCCCTGTAGTGGTGTAACGATATACTATGGTCACGATGTGATTACTGTACAGGATTAATACATTTATTACGCAAACTGTCAGGGAAACTATAAGTGACATTAAAAAAAGAAAATGCAAAATATAAAGGATCCTGGAGGTGTTGAGGGAGGGAGACAGGAGGACAGGGGAGGGAGGTGGGAGGAGAGGGGAAGGAAGGTGGGAGGAGAGAGGGAGCGAGGCGGGAGGAGAGGGGGAGGAAGGCGGGAGGAAGACAACCCTCTCAGTGTGCCCCCTCGTAAAAGTAAATCCTATCTGCAAAATTCACTATGCTAATTAATGTATACCTACTTAATGGCGCTCGTGGCGTACGTCACCGTTGACAACCAAGATAATCTTCTTGGGTCAATCTCATACTCTCAAACTGAAAAGGGGCGGGCCCGCAGCACGTGTGTCTGGTAAAACCCAATCTACAAAATTAATTTTGCTCGCAGCATCCCGCAGCATCCCGCCACGATTTCTCACCTATGCTATTGCATGCACATATAGCAATTGCGCTTACGTCGTTCGTCGCCCTTTACGTGCAGGCATGCGGCAATTACGTGGAAATATGAGGCATTAAAGAATGCATAAACATTACATTGTCTACATAATTGGTAGTAGGCCTAAATGCATTTCGTGTTTATTTACTATCATTTTATTATTGAAAATTTGAAACGTTCCAATTGCCTGTGTCGGAGAGGTGCACGTGTATACTCATGAGAGTTATATGCAAAAATCAAATTTCGCCCAGTTTGGTTCTCCTATTTTCAGAGCAAAACTTTTAAGCTACTAATTACTAAAGTAACTATAATACAAACAACCACTAAGACTTGTGGGTGACTTGTGAGAGACTTGTGACTTGTGACTTGTGACTTGTGACTTGTGACGTGAGACTTGTGACTTGTGGGTGACTTGTGAGTTTGACATTGTTTTTGATAGTTAACTCGATCGTAATGCATTCTGGGATATCCGGTTTAAAGCGATTTGGATCACAATGCGAAAGGCTGGAATTTAATTTTCATGTAAGCATTATTACTCTCTTTATTGATGATGAACTAGTCATTTACACACGCATATGTACATTATGTTATATGTAAGCGGATATAGCTTTCAAATTTAGCGACAGGGAGAACGAGAATGTGAGGCGGGTGTATGCATGGTATTTAGTAATTTACGTACATGTGTGCGTGCGTGAGTGTGAATGTGTGTGCGCGCGTGCGCGTGCGTGAGTGTGTGTGTGTGTGTGTGTGCGTGTGCGTGTGCGTGTGCGTGCGCGCGCGCGTGTGGTTGTGTGTGTGAGAGAGTGTGTAGTGTGTGTTGCCGATAAATATAGAAGCGTTGTGACTTGTATTTGTATCACGCGCAAACATACGCCTCCACTGCCGCTGCTGTACATTGCATCAGCTGATTGCATGAATTCATGCATCTATAGAAATTTCAACGACGTTGATTGCAGCAAAAAAGCTTCAATTTTACATTACATTATTCATCTACTATGATCTAGCAATTTATTATAGCATGACGTACTGACAATTATCTGGTTAATTACGACGTTAGTACGATAGTATATAGGCCTACATTAAACTTGTGTAATTTCCAGGGCTGTCGCTAGCACAGTAGCAGAGGGGGGGGGCAAGGGTGGCATTTTCCCTCCAAATAAATGTAGGTATACATAATTACATGGTGAATGGCAGTCACCTTCCCAGAACAAATACACAAAATGAGTTGGCTACGTTCCTGATTGCAAGAGTAAGTGGATGTACGTAGCTCTATTCACATAATAATTACCTCTGCCAGGGGCTTGGCGGAGGTTATGTTTTCACCGGCGTGTCTTTGAGTGTTGGTTTGTGGGTTTGTGTGTTACCATGCACGTTTCAGTTCACTTCCGCTAGGTGCGCTGGCTGTAGACTTACAAACACGCAACCACAGGCTATAAGGGGCAACCACAGTCCTCCCCCACCTGCACGCTCGCACTAATCCGGATCCAATTAATTATTTAATTAATTAATTAATTAATTTTTCCA